GATGACCTGGCCTTGCAGTCTAGCCTTGACTTGGTTGTTCCTTTTTTTGCAAAACTACAGCAGTTGAGGCTGTGCATAGACACCAAAGCCTGCCAAGCCAGCAGATGGGAACCCACAGGGCTGCACTTGGTGTGCATAGCAAGGACAAGGCTTACCCTCCGCCTTGATGTCTACATTCTCCTTAGCATTACGGATCTCTCTCTCCTCAACCTGAGCAGGTTCTGGTCTTTCTGGAGGAAGCAACTCTCTCTTTTCACCTGCAAACAAGAAATGGTCAGATACTCTGGGATGGAGCAAGAAAAGCGACAGATGTTCTCTGGTTCTGTCTGCCTCCCTTCCTCCACTAGCCCACCACTGTATGAAGACTGGATGTATGAAGACTTGACGACTGCAGAAAAAGTAATAAAAAAGTAATAAAAACATTTAACAGCATTTGAGCCTGCTGGCAACAAACCAGTGCTAACTTCCTGAGCCCATTAAAATGCAAACCTTAACCCTAAGAGCTTTGGAATGGGTACTGAGTAATGTGGCACCTGTCAAGCTCTCCCACTCTAGGTCCCCAGTGAGCAGCATGGTACAGCACCTGATGCTTAGCAAGCAAATGAACAACTGCACAGTGCATATCACCAGCTCTGCCATTGCCAGCTGATTCATAGCACATACTGTACATCCACCCCACCTGCTGTCTGCTCCCATCCCAGCAATGACTAAAAGAGTTGTAAAAGTTGCACACCATCACAGGAAAATGTGCAACTGGAAGCAAGGTCAAGCAGGGCTTTGAGAACATTTCACTGAAAGATGATTTGTTCCAATTCTAAGTCCCATTATATAAAAACTTTTTAAAAACAGTGCAAAGGCATCAATGTACATTCATTTCATCTGAGACATAGATTCTTACTGCAGAAACTGGATCTTTTTGCTTAGTTGGTTCTTTCTCAGTCTCATTCTGGCAAGGGCTAGAATGGGAGTGGACAGAGGGAAATCACTGCTTAAGGCAAAACCACTGGAAGTAATCATGCAGAAACTATGTGACAGGGACATTTTGGGGAGAGGACTGGTTGGTGGTCAAGGTGGAGCAGAAGTCAATTTGAGTCTTCAGAGGTGGGGTATGGTTAAGGTTCCCCTGCATGCTCATGGTATGCTCTTCATGATGTTTGTGACACCACTTAAATACTGTAGTGATTTATGTTTAAACACAGACACGTAAAATTCCAGGAGCCCAAGTAATAAATTGCAAACTTCAGGGAGAGAAGACAGAATTAGGAGGCGTTACCTACCTGTTTCATTCTCCTCCTCAACAGCTTTCCTTCCCTCCTGTGGAATGGCACCATCCTTCCCACCGATGGCTTTGTCTCTTCTCTCATCCTGCTCATCCAGCTCAAGGTCTTTATAAGGAGGACGCTCATCTTTATGTGCAACCAAATCTGGCAGAGGCTTGGGGTCTTTCACAGGATGGTACTCCAGCTTTTCCTGGCCACCATCTCCTTTTGTTTGTTCAGGAACAGGTTGTGGCTGTGCCCGGTCCTCCCCCAGCACAGGATTCTCCTCCACTAGGAACTCCTTGTTGTCTGGTGGCCGGTTCTCTTCAGGCTCCTCATGATCCTGACCCTCATCTACCACTACCTCATCATGTGGTACTGGTGGCTCATGGCGATGGGCTTCTCCCACAGGCTGTGCAAAGCCTACAGAGATATGAGAAAGACTGTTGATGGGGAACAGCAGAGAAAACACCATTTGTGTATGCCCATCATGAGGACCATGAATATTCATCAACTTGACTAGAGACCTGATTAATCTATACCTCTTTTATTTTTCTCACTTCTAATTCTACTCTACCTTGGTCAGGTCGGTCCAGCTGCACCTCTTCCTTTGGTTTCTCTTTCTCATCTCTGTTGGGCACATCCATGGGAACCTTGATCTGTGGCTGTTCCACCTCTTCCTTCCCATTTTGCAATATAGGCTTGTCATGCTTATGAACCACCTCTTCCACTGCTGGGTTCTGGTCTGAAAAAGCATGAAGTCAAGCAAACAGACATATTCCTGCAATGTGCAAATAGCCTAAAGCCAAACTATACATTATATCTCTAATTGTTTTCTCTTTTTAATGAAACAAAATCCTGAAGAAATGGCGGGGCTGTCAAGTATGATTGAGACAGTAGTGCTTGGGAAGAGGCTGTTTAACCCTTTCCTTTTTGGTATTTGTCCCTCTGCTCTGTGTGTGTGTGTGTGTGTGTGTGCATATGCGTGTGTTTTCGTGCCTTCATTTCCAACTTATGACAACCCTAAGGCAAACCTATCATGGATGTTTTTTTGGCAAGATTTGTTCAGAGAAGTTTTGCCATTACCTTCCTCTGAGGCTGAGAGAGTGTGACTTGCCCATGGTCACCCAGTGGGTTTCATGGCCCAGCGAGGAATCAAACCCTGTTCTCCAGAGTTGTAGTTTAACATTCAAACCACTGTGCCACACTGGATCTCATGTAGTCACACAAAACTAGCTGAATAAATAAATAAATAACCCTGCTCTTTGGTACATGGGACCACCAGATGGCAGCATTGCTCTTGCTCATTTTAATTCTATGCATGACAAGGAGCAGCACAGACTGAATGAAGAAGCCAGGCATGGCCAAGGGAGATCACCTGCTGGGCTAGAAACCAGGAGGAAACATGAGAGTGGGCTGGCTTTACAAGGCTCCATAAGGAACAGGTAGGGGAAGTTACAGTAACGGCTGGAGGTTAAAGATATAGAAAGCTTTTTTAAAAATCCCAGATGATCATGAGGAGGAGGAGGAGGCAGCAGTAGCAGCTTGGAAGGTTTCAGAAGGGAAGCTGGGGCACCAGGTTTGGGATTTCAGTAGGCACAATGTATCTAAAAATTAGCATGAAAAGATCTCAGCCATTCAGGCTTTCTAATGAGATCCTCAGATTAAAGCAGGGGTGAGAAGTGTGTAATCCTCCAGAGATGGCAATTCTCATGAACTTTGGTCAGCATAGCCAGCGGTGAGGAATGCTGGGAACTGCAATCCAACAACATCTGGAAGGCTGCATGATTCCCACTCTGGTTCAGGGGCAACAATTCCCTCAAGGATGTTGGGTTCTCTACATCTCTACATGGGATATAACAATTTCCTTTGCCAATGTTTTGCTGAGCCAAAAGGTTAAGCACAGATTCACCACCAGCATCCCGCCATGAAAGCAACAGATACTCACACAGGGAACTGCTTTGACTGTGGTGCCTCATTTTGGAATTAATCTGGAGCCTTTGTTACAGAAGAGCTCAAGGAAATAACTTTGCAAAGGGAGCCAAGCAGCTCAAACTGTTCCCTCACTTCTGGCAGCTGAAATGACACCAACTATTTCCAGCAGAACAAACCCTGAAATGGTTCCTTTTACATTTACACGAAAAAACTCTCCATTCTGCCTCCATCTAATTTCTTCCATATCGGGCAGATGATCTCCAACAGGTACACATAAGACCATCTGAGGAGATGGCAGCACACAGAATTGGAAAGAGTATAGGGTGTTCTGACTTCAGGCAGGCTCTTGGATGTTGGAAGAACTGGCTGATAAAAACGGAAATAAAAGCAGCCAGAGGATGTGGGCCAAGGCTTCTCCTTTCAAGCAGTGATGCCCCTGGGTATGGGAGTGCTCAGCGGCATTAGCAGGGTGCTCTACAAATGCCATACCTTTCAATTGTCCCAATATAACAGAACAGTTCTGGTGAATCCGTTGCCATTCCACTTTCTTAGCTACTTTTAAAATATCCCAGTTTATCTCTCTTACACTCTTCCCCTTCATCCTTGGTTTACTTCAATTGCTGCAAACTGAGTTCAAAGTGCAAAAACAGTTTGTACTCAACACAGCAGGAGTGAGAAGAGAGAAGAGGAGGGGGCAGAGTTTTGCCCTTCCTTAATTCAATACATAAATACCAGGATTTCTCTGCTTAAAATAGTAATTTTAAAATAGTAGTTTAGTTTTCATTAATAACTTGCTGTCTTGCTGCCTAGTCACACTCATTTGACCACACTGATATGGCTCAGCCACATATGTCCTGGTTTTCATCTGTTAAGTGCTGGAGGGTAAACTACTTACTCATGTTTCTGATGTGAACATGGAAAAAGAAGACACAAAGAGAATGTGCATGGTAAACTGGACAGGGTCCAGGAGGAGGAGGTGCAATCCCATAACCAAATCATATACATGTGGACACCAAACTTTTGCTTTCAGAACTTCTGGTTCCTCAGAGGGCCTAGAATGGTAGAACCAGAGCTGCACTGGGTGGTTTGGGATACTACAAGCCTTGTGGAACTTGGTGGACTGCAAAAGAGAAGCACATAATACATTACAAGACGCAAGAAGGATATGAAGAGCACTAATTTTTCAGAGTCCTGCACATAATGGTTGTCTGGTTGGGACTCCACGTGTGCAACAGCTTGACTAACAGCCATGACATAAAATACGCAACAGGTGTTCCCATAATCACACAACTAGTGTGGAAGAGGAACTAGCATATGGCAATGTCTTATCCACAGCCACTGTAAATCTTATCCCAACAACATGTGCTCTCATGCATAGCATAGCATAGCTTGTTGGTCCCCCAAAGAAGGTATGAGTTGATTTTGGGGGAAAGTTATTGCAGTTTCAACTATATGTGATTTGGGTGAACAATAAAATAGAAATGGAACACCATGGGATCAGGTCTTGATATGGCTGCTCTTCCAACATATGGAATGGTGGGAGAAATCTTTGCCTAGAACAGTGCTATCTGATGTTGGAAACTGGCAATTTCTTTCCAAATTTGCCAGGGACATAAAAATCTAACATGCTAGGGATAACAGTTTGTGCTCATTGGCTATAACTGCTTTTTAGTTTTTCCTGGAAACTGAACACAGATTGGCAGCTGAGGGCTTGTGCACTGGCACAGCTTTATGGACTACCATTTTGAGCAGCACTGCCTTAGAGTACTATGCCCTTTTTTGCTGGATTAGATGCTAGGTCTGGATGTGAGTGTGGTGTAGTGGTTTGAGCACTGGACTATGACTCTGGAGACCAGGGTTCAAATTCCCACTCAGCCACAGAAACCCATTGGGTGACCTTGGCAAGTCACGCTCTCTCAACCTCTGAGAAAGGCAATGGCAAACCTCCTTGGAACAAATCTTGCCTTTAGGGTTGCTGTAGGTTAAAAATGACTTGAAGGCACACTACAACTGTAATTCCCTACATTGTTTCAAAAGGCCAAAAGTCTAAGGGATAAAAGTGTGGACATCAGCTTACCCTGCCCACCCAACAAGAGCAGGGCACTCTTTGTGTTAACAACCAGAATTTGAGCACATCTCTTGTGGAAAAGGAAAGAGAAGCTCTATGAGACTCACATGCTTTCTGAGGTCTAAAAGCACCTATTCTGCAGTCACATGGTTATGCAAACTTAATACCAAATTACTGTATTTCCATACATTGTTGGACAGCTTGTTGACTTTTGCCTTCATAATATGGACAGTTGCAGGTAAGGACCAGGCCTTAGTCACTATGGGAATAGGGAAAAAGGAAGCAAATATAGATTGAAACAAATAGACTACCAATGAAAGCTATTAAGAAGTGCATGGACATGTGAAGATTAAAGATGTTTTGTCCGCTGATCTTAAAAAAGTCACAACCCAATGATCCTCTTATGTCTTGAGGGCCATTTCACATATGGCAATTTACTTGTTTAGGTCTATGACAGGGAGGAAAGACCACAAATACTTATATGTGAAACTGTGCAAAGAAAAAAAAAAGGCACACTCTTCTTTTAATCATGCAGCTGTGTTTGGAAGCTGCTGCACACAACTGTGTTATAACTTGCATAAATGCAGTGTGTGATTTGTAAGCACAACAGCATCTGCTTTCCACACCTAACACACATTGGAAAAAATAATGCATGAAGCAGCCCTGAGCCATTAACAGAGAGTGCTACAGGCATCTAAGCTTTCTTCTCCGATATAATATCTAGAGAAATTGGTTTTAAAACAAAACTGGGGGGTCTGATATTACATAAAATCTAAGCCAAGGGTAGGCAACCTTTCCCCTTTAAGGGCTGAGGGACTTCAGCTCCCAGAATCCCAGGAGCTATTGGCCAACATGGGACTATTGGCCAACATGGCTGAGGCTTCTGGGAGCTGAAGTCCCTCGGCCCTTAAAGGGGAAAGGTTGCCTACCCCTGATCTAAGCAAACAGTATACAGTCAAGGACCTTCTGCAAGGACTTTCTTTCTTCCCCCTTGCCCCAAAATCCTGAGTATGAATAACTCTGGGGAAAGAGTGCAGCTGCAAAGTCATAGGTTTCGAGTCTTGCTTGCTCATTACATTCCACATTGGTAAACACAACTGAAGCATTAATAAAGCAATGCCAAGGAGACTCCCACCTTATCAGAGGGGAATAGAGAGCAAAAACAAAGAATACATATTTTTCCTTTTTTTCACAGCAATGCTGTAATTTAGCAAAACAACCTGAAAAGTATTCAGGGAGAACAAGTTTTAAAATTATGACATACTATACAATACAATACAGTGTGTATGTGTTCATTCATTTTAAACTTGTGCTCACTGGCTATCCTTGGATTAGTCTTTCCTGTGGCACTGGGAGACTCTGCAACTAATTTAATTTTATCACAGACACTTTGGTCTTTTCACCTGCTCTGGAATGCTGGACAACCACAAACTTGTTTTGTACAGGTCACTTGACTGAACCGCAGCTGTGCTGTCAAAAGCAGGAAAAACTATAGATTCCCTGTTTCTTTGAGCTCCCTATTTCCCTGTGATATGATGGGGGTTTCTGTGGCCATACTTTATTAATGCTTCAGTTGTGTTTACCAGTGTGGAATATAACCAGCAAGCATGTACCTAAACCTCTGGCTTTGCATATATACCACATGCATGCACACGTGCACACACACACACACAAAACAAAAAAAGAGGGGGGGGGAGAGATAAAAATCTCCACTCTGTAATAAGACAAAGTTGCCTCTAAGCCATCATTTTCTCAGCAGGAAGCAAAATTAAGTTCATCATCGGGGCGTGAATTAATGGCCTCTCATGCTGCTTGGAAATCTATAAGGGGCTATATGTGGTTTGGAAAGAACCATTTTGCCCAGGATGTGTAATAATCGCTGAAACTGTAGAGTCGCCCTTGTGGTCCCTTTGGATAATGTTACAGTAATGCTGTGCCTCTTAATGTTTTATGAGGGGTGCTGGGCTTAACAGGAAAAGGCGAAGAGGCTGTAAAAGCTTCTTGCCTTACAAAAACAACAGGGAAAAAACATCTCCGGTCTAAAGAGTTGGGCTGGCAAAGAGGGGGAGGGAGTCAAAACCCCCAAATATTGGGAGCAAACCCAAATGCTGATGACTGAATGATGGGGCATCTAGAGCCAACTCAAGCTAAATCATCCTCTTCTGCTTGCATTAGGGCATGGGTGAGGAAGGGACATTTCTCACGGGTTTTTTTTAAGCATCCACTTTTATTTTAATGGTTCGCCAATCAGTCTCTCTGGGCTGTAATAAAATCTCATCATGAGCAACCCTAAAAGCTTTTCCTATCCTCTCTCCAAGAATGTGACTAGGATAGTAGCAATGCTCCCAGGAAGATGTGGTACGCACTTACTCTTGCCCGCATTGCCTGCTGCATTACAGTGGATTCAAAATTTTAAGGAGACATATGATATGGCTTCTACCACTATAGTGAGGTATAATTTTATTTCATGGTGTCCCTTACCAACATCTCCCTGCATTTAAAATATATGTTCATCATGCTCCTTTCACCAGATTGCATAACCTGAATAAAATTATAGATTCCAACCAGCCCAAATACTAGGCAATCTGGAAAATATTAATGGGGCACAGAGCTGAAAAATATTTTCACACACACATTTTTGAAGGCAGAAAGCTCTAGCAACAAAATTCTTTGTAGCTCAGAAATTATCTTTCCTCATACAACAAGGAAGTAAGTTTACTCAACCAGTATTAGGAGCAGTTTATTATCCGTAGAGGAAGAGAGATTTGAGGGATAGAATACAATAGGGTGAATAGGAGGAGTGAGGGCAATATGGATCAGCTGATTTCTCAGCATATGGTTAGTACCTGGGTGGGAGACCACAATGAACACCAGGTGTTGTAGGTTATATTTCAGAGGAAGGAACTGGCAAAACCATCTCTCAGTAATCCTCATCTAGGAAAACCCTATGAAATTTATGAGGTCACCATAGATTTACAGGTGACTTGAAGGCACACACAGACACATAGACAAAGACACAAATACACAAATATCCCAGAGGAAGCAGAATTACTGCCTGTGTGTCAGAGATGGAAGTGTGCATTTGGCAGGGATTCCTTCCTCTTCCATTTAACAATGACCTGGAGGAAAACTGTGGTGTTTCTGTCTAACAGATAGCAAGAGAGAGAGAGAGAGAGAGATAACAACTGCAAAAGGATTCCATTTTGAATGTCTGCTTCCACTGATGTACGTGCTGGGAAGAGGTCAGGCTGTTCAAAAATCAGTGAAGTTCCCAAAGAAGGCATTAATGAAGCGCTCTCTCTCTCTCTCTCTCTCTCTCTGTGCGCATGATGCACCTAATGTATAATACCCCCTAACACTGACAGCACTGTCTCTCTGGGACCATTGCTGGCTGCTGAATTCTAAGCTTTATTACTCAGCCTGGAATTCAGATGTAGGGTAAGGAAGAACTTGTTAGCCAAATCACATGCCTCTTTGCTCTAAAGAGCTACTGAACTCAGCATGACCACCTGCTACCTCTTGAGGTTGGATCCTCTTCAGTCAACGTGTCCCGAACAAATTAACCCATGGAAGAAAGGAATATTTTGCTTAGGATACAGCTGCCTTGGATCCCATTTGGGGGGAAAGAAGGGATATAAGTGCAACAAACAAACAAACTGAAATGTAAGTTGACAATTATAGTGTGCTATGGTGTGCTAGAGGCAATAAGGGACCAAAATGTCTTCCCACATTACATTGACATGTAGACCCATGTAAAAAATGAATAGTTAAATCTGAAGTCCCCAAACAAGCCAGCAAGAACATCTATTATAGAAAATTATTTAGGCTGCAATCCTACACCTACTAACATAGGAGTCAGTCCCACTGAATTTAATGGGGCCTAGTTCCAATTCAGAATGTATAAGACTGGCAGGGAGTGGAAACAGTAGGGCAAGGACAAATACATTTCTGTAACTTAGTCTTAAGACATTTTGCAGGGCACAGCATAGAGCACAAACCTATTGGGTGAGCTGTCTGTGGCCCTCCAAATGTTATTGGACTGCATTTTCCATCACTCAAAGATATCACAGCCAATGATGTGCAATGCTAGAAGGTGAAGTCCAATATCTGGAAGGTGATCTGTTCCCCACCACTAACCTCCAAGTAAGCCTCCAAAAAGAAAGGTTCAGCTAAAGACTAGGTGATGAGGACAGTGATGACTGAGCTCATTACAGAACCTCAGATAATGCCCCTTAAAGCTGGTGCCTCTGAAAGAAGAGGAGAATTTGAAAATTAGAGCTCTGGAGCAGAACATCAAAGAACATTTTAGCATCTAAGGACAGAATGGGACTTGATGAGTGTAAAGCATTGAAGAGCAGAATGGGAATTGATGAGATACCAGCCTTTGAGAAGTTTTCTAAGATGGAGAAAACACCAGCTGTTCTCAGAAGGAAAGGAGGAGGAACTGAAGCAAGGAGAACACTATGTTGGGTTAATGCTGCTTCCCAGAGATCCTTCTGATTCTGCTCCTCAACCTGGATCACACAATCTAGAACAAGGACTGAAAAGACCTTTAAAAAAATCTTCCCAAAGTCCTTCCCCTAACATGACATAGAAGTCATCACATAATTCTGCTTGATTTGCCCAGATCCTGAATTCTGTGTAGGTACACAGTGCAGGTCCCAGCCAACGACCAGTCTGCATTATGTGGATTCTCTGAAAAAGGATGGTGGCAGATGGATCTCTACATTTGCTCAGCAAGAACAAGGGATGGGGTGGAGGAGAGAGACCTCTCTCAAGATCTCTAAACCATAACTGTTATCGCTTTTACAA